TGATGGATCTACTGACAGACTAGTAACCAGTAGGTTTAGTCTGTGGGCAGACAATATGTCAAATTAAAAAACTAGAGTTAGAGTTTTTAACTAACTATAGTTAGAAACTAGAGTTGGTAAGATAACTGAAGAATATCTTTTCTTATCGATTTCCAAATTTTCCTCCTTGATATGTTTTCCAGAAAGGAAAGCTCATGTTGTTACTAGATTGTACAGTTTCAATATGTCTCGAATAACTTCATGCTAGAGTCAGCATATTCTTATGAACTTTGGTCTCGTCTTCCGTTAATCACCTCCAGAACACTTTATTGATTGATTTCAAATTTTTAAACCCCAGTGAACTATAGTGGAACCTCAGTATACGACCAGCTCCCTACTCGAACTAAGCTCAGCACTCGACCAAACAAATACGACTTGCACATAAAAGAGAGGAGCTTACGATACACGAATAGCCCGCACATAAAAGAGAGAAGCTCACGACGACGTTTCGGTCCGACTTGGACCATTTACAAAGTCACAAATCAGGAGCTTACGACGGGTTATTTGTGTATCGTTCCAGTCACGGTATTGTGCCTTTTTTTATTATTATTAAATACGACTTGCCAGAACTTCGATGTAAATTATTTCGTGTTTCTACTCATTTTTGGTGTTTTGTATTATTTATATAAATAAGTCATCACGGGGCTAACGACGATTAGTGATAACAGCCAACCAAACAGATAATTGGTTGGGAAGAAATTGATACCCAGACGGAGAGACACTTGAACAACCTTCTGGAAAGAATTAAGGTCGCATACCGTGGTTCCCCTTTATATAGAAATGTTCATGGATCTAGTAGCATGTACAGTGCCGTCTGGCCCACTGATATTTCCTTGTGATAAGTTTAGAAAAACTTATCTCATCAATTTCAACTTTTTGTGATGAATGGTTTGAAAAACCGACATGTTGAAGATTGAGACATTTATGCAACATATGGGAATCTTTATTCAGGAAAAGTTTCACCACGCACTTCATCAGTACAATACAAAGTAGAACGGCTTAAGGAGAGGAGGAGTTTGAGGTAATCAGTCCCTCAGCCTGGAGTCGATGTGTTCAGTCCATCAGTCTTGTAGAGATTGATGGACTGAACACATCGACTCCAGGCTGAGGGACTGATTACCTCAAACTCCTCCTCTCCTTACTTACGCCTTTCTACTTTGTATTGGACTGATGAAGCCACTGTGTGGCGAAACGTTTCCTGAATAAAGATTCCCATATGTTGCATAAGTGTCTCAACCATCAATTTCAAGTTTTTACTTCTTGTGTATCATAATTAGAAGATAGCTAGTATACTTAGGGAAATATGTAGTTGCCATCTTGTCTGTTCTAAATTTGAAATAATATACCATATATTTAATTCAGTAAACAGAGGTTGCCTCTTCTGAATGGTGTCAATTTTTAACAGCTGCATCCTGTGAAATGGATAAAAAAATGTGCTTAGGGTGGCTCTGGTGGCCTGGTGGTTAACGCTCTCGCTTCACACGGTGAGGGCCTGGGTTCGATTCCCAGCCAGAGTAGAAACATTGGACGTGTTTCTTTCCACCTGTTGTCTATGTTCCCCATCAGTAAAATGGGTACCTGGGTGTTAGTCGACTGGTGTGGGTCGCATCCTGGGACACTGACCTAAGGAGGCCTGGTCACAGACCGGGCCGCGGGGGCGTTGACCCCCGGAACTCTCTCCAGGTAAACTCCAGGTAAACTCCAGGTAAACTCTCCAGGCTCAGTAGGTGAAAATTTCTCAAAATTACTGACGTAATTTATTAACTTGTAACTGATGTATTGTGCACGGCAACTGATGTGTTCTGCACGGCAACTGATGTGTTCTGCACGGCAACTGATGTGTTCTGCACGGCAACTGATGTGTTCTGCACGGCAACTGATGTGTTCTGCACGGCAACTGATGTGTTCTGCACGGCAACTGTGTTCTGCACGGCAACTGATGTGTTCTGCACGGCAACTGTGTTCTGCACGGCAACTGATGTGTTCTGCACGGCAACTGATGTGTTCTGCACGGCAACTGATGTGTTCTGCACGGCAACTGATGTGTTCTGCACGGCAACTGATGTGTTCTGCACGGCAACTGATGTGTTCTGCACGGCAACTGATGTGTTCTGCACGGCAACTGTGTTCTGCACGGCAACTGATGTGTTCTGCACGGCAACTGATGTGTTCTGCACGGCAACTGATGTGTTCTGCACGGCAACTGATGTGTTCTGCACGGCAACTGATGTGTTCTGCACGGCAACTGTGTTCTGCACGGCAACTGATGTGTTCTACACGGCAACTGATGTGTTCTACACGGCAACTGATGTGTTCTGCACGGCAACTGATGTGTTCTGCACGGCAACTGATGTGTTCTGCACGGCAACTGATGTGTTTCTGCACGGCAACTGATGTTTCTGCACGGCAACTGATGTGTTCTGCACGGCAACTGATGTATTTGCACGGCAACTGATGTGTTCTGCACGGAACTGATGTTTCTGCACGGCAACTGATGTGTTCTGCACGGCAACTGATGTTTGTGCACGGCAACTGATGTGTTCTGCACGGCAACTGATGTGTTCTGCACGGCAACTGATGTGTTCTGCACGGCAACTGATGTGTTCTGCACGGCAACTGATGTATTGTGCACGGCAACTTATGTGTTCTGCACGGCAACTTATGTGTTCTGCACGGCAACTTGTGTGTTCTGCACGGCAACTTGTGTGTTCTGCACGGCAACTTGTGTGTTCTGCACGGCAACTTGTGTGTTCTGCACGGCAACTTGTGTGTTCTGCACGGCAACTTTTGAGTCTGCACGCAACTTGTGTGTCTATGCACGGCAACTTGTTGTTTCTGCACGGCAACTTATGTGTTCTGCACGGCAACTTATGTGTTCTGCACGGCAACTTAATGTTCTGCACGGCAACTATGTGTTTCTGCACGGCAACTTATGTGTTCTGCACGGCAACTGATGTGTTCTGCACGGCAACTGATGTGTTCTGCACGGCAACTGATGTGTTCTGCACGGCAACTGATGTGTTCTGCACGGCAACGATGTGTTCTGCACGGCAACTGATGTGTTCTGCACGGCAACTGATGTGTTCTGCACGGCAACTGATGTGTTCTGCACGGCAACTGATGTGTTCTGCACGGCAACTGATGTGTTCTGCACGCAACTGATGTTTCTGCACGGCAACTGATGTGTTCTACACGGCAACTGATGGTTTCTACACGGCAACTGATGTGTTCTACACGGCAACTGATGTGTTCTACACGGCAACTGATGTGTTCTACACGGCAACTGATGTGTTCTGTACGGCAACTGATGTGTTCTGTACGGCAACTGATGTGTTCTACACGGCAACTGATGTGTTCTACACGGCAACTGATGTGTTTTACACGGCAACTGATGTGTTCTGCACGGCAACCGATGTGTTCTGTACGGCAACCGATGTATTCTGAACGGTAACCGATGTATTCTGAACGGTAACCGATGTATTCTGAACGGTAACCGATGTATTCTGCACGGTAACTGATATATTCTGCACGGTAACTGATTTATTCTGGACGGTAACTGATATATTCTGGACGGTAACTGATATATTCTGGACGGTAACTGATATATTCTGGACGGTAACTGATATATTCTGGACGGTAACTGATATATTCTGCAGGGTAACTGATATATTCTGCAGGGTAACTGATATATTCTGCAGGGTAACTGATATATTCTGCAGGGTAACTGATATATTCTGGACGGTAACTGATACATTCTGCACGGTAACTGATATATTCTGCACGGTAACTGATTTATTCTGGACGGTAACTGATATATTCTGGACGGTAACTGATTTATTCTGGACGGTAACTGATATATTCTGCACGGTAACTGGAGAATGCAAAATATGCTTCGTCTTGACTCTCGGTTGTATCATTTTAAATCTTTCAATTTAATTAAAGAAATAACTTCCATGAAATAACTGGAGGAATGTCATATCTGAACAGCTTTACACTATAACTAGGTACGTAAGTTTATTCAGGTATACACTAATACATAGGTATTATTCAGGTATACACAGTTGCATAGATTATCATACATAGCAGCGTATGTGTAGACAACCTGGGATAACCCCTTTAACGTCTAGTGAATCTTAATTAAAGAAAAGCTTGGGTAGATTTTGGAGTGTATAAGTCCCAATTTTCTATTTTTCAGAAAGATACAGGGAGAAGAGAAATGCCGGATTTAATAGGATATAATTTGTTTACGCATCATTCAATTAGAATCGAAACATCAACAATGAACGGCTTATTTCAGTAATTAGGTATCCCTGAAGCCTGTAAGTCACTGTTTGAATTGCTTCTTTTTCTTATTTTTTTCTTCTTTTTTTCCAAACATTCGGCTTTCATTTTATTCACATCCTGAGAATACTTCATCCTATCGGGCTGAAATTTTAATCACTGGTGTACAACACCGAGGGCAACATTCTTAAAGTGATTCACGAAATTCGTCTTGTGTAATAGATTATGACGGAGAAACTTAGCTTTTGCACCCATTGTAACAAACATGTTAAGTTGGATAGCAGAACACAGCAAGAATCTCTACGTTATATTTATATGGAGTATAGTAGCTTCACACTGTGGGTGTGAAGGTAACAATTATTAACATTCGAATAGCAGCACATTCTAGGTGTTCCAACTATGTAATTACCAAACTGTCTAGCTGGATAGCAGCACACTCTGGGAGTTCCTACTATGAAATTACCAAATATAGTTGGATAGCACCACATTCTAGGCGTTCCTACTATGTAATTACCAAATATAGTTAGACAACACCATATGCTAGGTGTTCCTATGTAATTACCAAATGTAGTTGGATAGCAGCACACTGTGTGCATTCACTCCATGTAACTATCATACAAAGTAGGATAATATCACACTGCTGATATACACAATTTTTGTTTAAAAAAATGGGTACTTACCTGAGAGTTGCAACAACAGCAGCACCAGCAGCAAACCAAACAGTGCTGTGATCCGTGCAGGACCTGCCATACTGGAGCACAACATGGGTTATACCCACTGGTCCTCTGGAGTTCTAACTTCTCTCCGGCTGACTTCTCTTTGAAATGTGTGGGTGTTTCCTCTCTGGGATACTACACTTTTTTCTGTTCATCATTGAACAGTTACGCACTTTAAGACATTTTCCCTCATCGTGTTATTCAACTTCATTGTTTTTTCAGTTACTTTAGTATTTTGATAAAAGTCGTCACATATTTTCATTCTCTCTGTCTCATTACCTACATTGTCTAGAGGCTAATAATTATAATACTGACAGAGGTATTGTTCTCCTGCAACACACTCGGAGATTTCACAGTTTTAATTAGTTTTCTTCACTGTTTCTCATTTAATCTAGTGTGCTAGAGAAAAATAAACAACGTTATTTCAAGTTATTATTTTATGTATGTCGGTATATTTCAAATAATATCTTTTATTTCTTAGTTCTGAAGTTATATTGTAATACGATTTTTCATATGAAATTTAATTTTATACAATAAATTACATATATAGAAGTTGATATTCTTTCTTTTCTGAGTTTTCCACTGATCAATAATTATTTAATAAACAAGTGATTCTCTCGTCTTCAAATTTTTTTCACTGATTTACTATAATTATAAAGTTACGTATATCATTCCACTACTGCATTTACAGCATGATAAGAAACACTAAATTAACCAATTTCTTGTATATGATATATTTTTCGAGTGAGCATCAAATACAGTTGCACATGCACAAGGAACTACCAGTGAATGTTATTCTCAAATATATTATATCAGGTGGTTGTGAAATTGTTCGTTGTCAACACTCAGTGGGATTTCTTATCAGATTTTTCTCGGATTTTTGTCACATTAAGTGGTTAAGCTTCACACCAAAAGATAACAATGGCTCGAGATACGAGGGTTTTTCAACATGCTAAGTTTCTCTTTACTCGTAATTTCCGTTGAATAAACTTAGGGTGATCTGTTACATACTTTCACTTTGTTATATAGTCAAGATTCATTGCAGTTTCCTTATAAATTCGGTTACACTGTTCATGTCAAACTAATTTTTCTTCAAGCAGGAAACTAGGAATGACAGTTGCATAATATTCTTTTCATTGACACACTTGTTTTCATTCTATGATAGTTCTCTATTTACATAAATATCACGTAATAAATTATTTTCACACTTGACTGGCTTATTAAGGTCAAGGCCAAGGGACTGCTCGTGAGGTAATAATTAAGACTGCATTTCCGCTGGTATATCAGAGAATACAGAAAACTTTCAGTGAGTATATTGTAAGAGCAGTTTCCATCTGTTCCATTCTTAATATTTTGGGAGTCCTGTGTCATACTTCAAGTGACACAGGACACCAGTGGATACCATCACTCTCTCTGTACCTGGAACAACAGAAAGTATTTATTAGTTACGATCTGGTGTGTTATCTAAGACCATAAGACATTCATATATGGGAAATATGCGTTAAATAAGACGGAAACGCAAGAAAGGCGTGTTACTTAAGCCATGAAAAGCAAGAAGGCAAGGAAGGCATATTACCAAAGATAATGGAAGGGGAGATAGATAAAAAACTTAACGCAAGGAAAAGCAAGAAATACATGGAAAGGGAAAGAAGATATCTTTCCTTCGCTATAGCAAGACAGGAAAGACATGTTATCTCAACCTTGGTAGTTACAGTACTAAAGTCTCTCAGTGATAACTGCATAATGTGGATGATTGTGTCACGCTTAGTAATAACTACATAATATGGGGGATAGTTTGGGATAAATATGCCTAGATAATAATAAATCACTAGCAAATACAGATCACTCTAGACACAGAACACTCTAAACAGACATGGTTCACTAGTAAGACATTGATCACTCTGAATATATATAGATAAATTAGCCAGACATAAATTTCTCAAGACATGGACTACTCTAGTTGGATATGGGTAAATCCAGAGATACATATGATACATAGCTCCAGAGAGATCACCTTAACCAGACATAGGTCATTCCACAGCAACATTCTTCAGGATGCGACCAAGAACTGGATCACTAGTCGCCTTACACTATGTCACAGGTATAACTGGGTATAACTAGTGGCCCAGTACTGGGCCACTAGTTATACCCAGTACTGGCTTACCGGTCACTTTACACCGAGTAGCAACAACAGGCAGAATCAAGAATCACACATCGAAATTGTTCACCAGTAACACCGGGTTCTGGGTCACCAGTCACGCCCATTACCAGGTCACAGTTATAACCAGTAGTGGGTTACCAGTCACGCTCAGTGTTGACTCACAAATACTCCGAGTACTGGGTCACTACTCGCACCCATTGCTGGGCCAATCACACCCAGTACTGGGTCGCAGATAGAACCAGAACTGTGTCACCAATCACACCCAAAACGGGGTAAAAAATCACATCTATTATTGGCTACATCAATCATTCTACACTGGGTCACAATTACACGCAGAACTAGCTTCACCAGTCACTCTACACTGGGTCAGTCACACCCAGTACTAGCTTCACCAGTCACTCTACACTGGGTCAGTCACACCCAGTACTACCGTCACCACTCAACACTAGGTCACAGTCACACCCAGTGCTAGCTTCACAAGTCACTCCATACTGGGTCAGTCACACCCAGAACTAGCGTCACCACTCAACACTAGGTCACAGTCACACCCAGTACTAGCTTCACCAGTCACACCACACTGGGTCACAGTCACACACGGAAGTATAGTGAATTTAATTACATGAGAATAATGAACCACTAATAAGTAATTTTTGTTCAGCTTAATATCCGAGCCAGAACAAGATGATGTAACGAGTCCATCAACCTTGAAGAAATAGTGTTTGAGGACTGACTACCTCAAATACTATTACTTCAAGGTTAATGGACTGATTGCATGATCTTCGTTTCATTACTACACCTGCTGCCTTTGTATTTGACTGAAGAAGCCCACTGTGTAGGCGAAACATTGTTTTCTTCCTCCAAGAATTTTGTTTATCAGTGGGATGTGTCTCATTTAACTGACTATATATTTTAAATGCTGTAGAATTATCTATGAGGGACATGTTATTGAAGCTATTGAAAAATGTGTCTTATAGTGAATTTTAATTCAGACGCAGCCGGATTTTTGTTTATACGAGAAATCAGGAAAACCTCTTCGCATTAGCTTCAGAATTTCAACATTGTTTAAAGATACTTAGGGAATTGTTGAGAATGTTACTGGAGTCTGTTGGTGGAAATTACCTAATTTTATCTTTAAAATGATGTAGTATTTCCGTCATGTAAAAGCAACTTTGCTATGCATTCTCTGGAGGATTTAATAGTTTAACAGCTGATCTGTTTAATGAAAATGAAGATAAAAGTTATGTTAAGGCTGTGTAGAGACAAACTAATATTTTTTAACATAATTAACTTAGAATTGCTGGACTTTCTGCGATAATTAGAGAATGTAACTTGTGTGGAAATACCCAAGTTTTGCGTGTGTCATGAGACATATTTGACAGGGAGTGAGGGAAGGACATGCTAGCCACGGTGGTCACATGTGTTGTATTACGAATAGAAGACATTTTTAAAAAAAAAAAAAAGTTTGTTTTCCCCGGGCAGCGTTGTCTTCCCCGGGCAGCGTTGTTTTCTTTTCAAGAAGAGGGGGAGTCTTTTGTCGTAATACTATTACTGAATCAATTTCTTTGACGTCTCATTTACATTAGTCTTCGAAAAGGGGTAAATCAAGACAAGGTCATCAATACTATGTTAGTTTTAATGAACATTCTTATCTCCATTTAGAATATACAAATAAGAGTACATTCAAATTCATATAGTTTTGTCCCGTTAAAGACTAAGTAATTCCAGTGCTTAAATATACAAAATTAATAATCTTTATACATTCGATAGAAATTACAATATACAATTCCTCATAGCTCAGGTGGGGTACAACTTTCTCAATATCCGAGAAGACACCAATTTCCATGCATGTCCTTGCCTAGGAGGGATATATGCAAACACAGTAAGCCAATACTCGAACAGATGAGTTGGTCCGGCTTCTCCAGTCCCAGGGTAGACGAGGTAGAGTCAATGGGGAGTAGAACGGTTCTCAGAGCTTGCCAGATAGAGACTGCCGGGAACAACCCTCGTGAATGGTAAGTAACCTCGGAGACCAGAAGCCGCCAAATTATGACGTCACTAACTACCCAACTCCTGGACTGGGTTGAGCTTATTTTACTTAACCGTACCTAAATGATGAAGGATGAATATGATAATACTACGACAATCCAACGGCTTCGATTTAGCTATTACCGAAGCAGCTAGCGAGGTAGTATTATCTAGATGATAAAAGAAAAGGAATATTACGATACAGACAAGTGTGACCATGGCGTAATAGCGCACAAAATGCGTGATAAAGGAATAACAGGAAAAGTTGGTAGATGGATCCATAATTTCCTCACAAACAGAACACAAAGAGTGGTAGTCAACAGAGTAAAGTCCGAGGCGGTTACGGTGAAAAAGCTCTGTTCCACAAGGCACAGTACTCGCTCCCATCTTCATATCCGACATAGACAAGGATGTCAGCCACAGCACCGTGTCTTCCTTTGCAGATGACACCCGAATCTGCATGACAGTGTCTTCCATTGCAGACACTGCAAGGCTCCAGGCGGACATCAACCAAATCTTTCAATGGGTTGCAGAAAACAATATGAAGTTCAACGATGAGAAATTTCAATTACTCCGATAAAGTAAACATGAGGAAATTAAAACTTCATCAGAGTACAAAACAAATTCCTTTCACAAAATAGAGCGAAAAACCAACGTCAAAGACCTGGGAGTGATCATGTCGGAGGATCTCACCTTCAAGGACCATAACATTGTATCAATCGCATCTGCTAGAAAAATGACAGGATGGATAATGAGAACCTTCAAAACTAGGGATGCCAAGCCCATGATGACACTCTTCAGGTCGCTTGTTCTATCTAGGCTGGAATATTGCTACACACTAACAGCACCTTTCAAGGCAGATGAAATTACTGACCTAGAAAATGTACAGAGAACCTTCACGGCACGCATAACGGAGATAAAACACCTCAATTACTGGGAGCACTTAAAGTTCCTGAACCTGTACTCCCTGGAACGCAGGCGGGAGAGATACATGATTATATACACCTGGAAAATCCTAGAGGGACTAGTACCGAACTTGTACACGAAAATCACTCACAACGAAAGCAAAAGACTCGGCAGACGATGCAACATCCCCCAATGAAAAGCAGGAATGTCACTAGCACGTTAAGAGACAATACAATAAGTGTCAGGGGCCTGAGACTGTTCAACTGCCTCCCAGCATACATAAGGGGGATTACCAATAGACCCCTGGCTGTCTTCAAGCAGGCACTAGTCAAGCACCTAAAGTCGGTACTTGACCAGCCGGGCTGTGGCTCGTACGTTGGATTGCGTGCAGCCAGCAGTAACAGCCTGGTTGATCAGGCTCTGATCCACCAGGAGGCCTGGTCACAGACCGGGCCGCGGGGGCGTTGACCCCCGGAACTCTCTCCAGGTAAACTCCAGGTAATACCCTCATAGCAGATGCGATGTTGCTATACTCCCGTCTGAACCTTCTGTGTAAGGCTAATTTATAGTGAGCCATTAGTAAACTGAAACCTAATCTAACGTTGAAGTTTAAATAGTAAAGTTAGGCTAAGAAGGTAAATGTAAGTAGCATAAGTACAGAAACTGTCGTTCTCTGCAACCCTACAGCAAAATCTTAGCAACATAGGTGCCAAGCACAGTGACTGGCCGCAGGTCTCAGTTACTAAGGGATAGCAGATGTCAGCAGTGTTATCGGATGAGAAGAGAACGATCAATAATTCTGGTATTAATTATTGTTCGTATCGCTCTTGGGCCGTACGGACAGGCTGCGCAGTAGCTCCTGACTCTGTTGATTGCTGCGCAGTTTTCTTCAGTGCACTCACAATGGCGGAAGGTGCACGTAGGCGAGTCAACACCGTCTGCCTTCAATTGGTGACAGGCTCGTTCAACAATCAGAATACACATCTACTGCTTACTGCGATACTCCGAGATACATATGGTATCAATAATGAAGATCTGTATGGTGTCTCTTTGAACGGAAATTCGAGGCTTTTTGTCAAATTCAGACAAAATAGTACTTACGAAAATATGGTTGCCACTTATCAGGATGTGATCAAAACTGTTAATCCTGGTGTCACTGTTCGACTTCACGACGTCTCCCGTTTTTACACTGGATCAAGGTACGAAACGTTCCTTTTGAGGCGGACGAGAGTGATTTGAGGAATGTTTTTTGCACGCTATGGCACGGTTCATACGGCAACTATGGGACGGTGGCATGATGGTCCTCTAGTTGGTATGCTGGAGGGGT